AAGCACCACGGGAGGATAAAATTACTATACACTTTATACAAATATAGTATAAATTGCAGTAGTAACTTCCACTTTTTAAAAACAAGTGTCATCATAATTTACATCTCAGGCACATTAAAATCTAATAACTTTTCGGGATTGGATTCTCAGTTACAGACCACATGTAAACACACCCAAATACGGGAGAAAACAAATGAATATATGGTACATGGTATTCATTGATTATGAATAAAAACATCTGGTTTTGTAAAAATGACAACAGTATTAGAAGCTTTATCTATAAAAAAAAAACGATTATCAAACTGGAACTGTAATAAAATCACAGTAAAGGGCATATTAAAGAGAACGATGCCATTCCAGTTAAACCGTTTCTTGAGTGCTTTGAGGAAATATTTAGGAAAACAGATTAACGGAAAAAAAAAATTAGTAAGGGATGTGCATATCAGTAAGAAAGTGTCTGTATACTGTGAGTCAGCAAAAGAATTACAATAATGCAAGAATCGATTTGGGAAAGTCTAAGAATTGCACCTGAGATAATCAGGGGAAATGTTTCAGGAGATGTTCAGCAAGTGGAGGTACAGGGTAAGGTACTAGAAATAATCATTCACAAGTATATCTGAAACAACTGTAAAACTAGACTGAAGTGACGAATTGGGGAGATATAGTGATATTTTAAGAGGTTTCTTATCATCATATCCATTAACCTTTAAACATGGATTACATGAAATCATTTGAAAGAAAATGAGTAAGTGCTTAGAGATGAATAGGAAAGTTAGTGTTGGGGATCAACTTAATTAATTCTTAATTAATTAAAGACTAGGATGATATACATAAAATACATAAACAAATGCAATGGGCGAGTCATTATGTAGGGTAATAGCTGGATAAAGACGTTAACCGATTGGAACATAGCTGATAAAAGGAGGCCAGGAGCACATACACATATATATATACACAAACACATATACACACTCACACACATACATATATGTATATATGCATTTATACACACACACACGTATATGTATATATATAGATATCTATAGACACACACACACATATATATAATTCTTCTATCCCCCTTCAGGTACAGAATAGTTTAATTTTATACCAATTTACTCTTTCTCTATATCATATATCAAATGCATAGCTACTAAACGCAATCGACAGAAAGGGGCATTATTCAAAGTATTAATATGATAAAAAATCTTAAGTTAAAGTGTGCACAATTCTAGCATCACATATAAGTTTCTCTTCTTTTATAATCGCAACCCATTTATGCAGGCTCTATTCTGATTGTTTATTCAGTTTTATTCGTATTATATCTTTACTTATATTTTTTATTTCATTTTCATTATTGTTCTTTGATGCAGCGATCTATAACAACAAGAACGACCTGTACTTTGAATAGCAATGCTGACCAACAATTGAATAAATAAATAAACCCGCATCTGATTAATGATTATTCAAGCCATAGATCATTTCGGTGTAGTCACATGCATGGCATTGCAGGATAGCTTCATTCAAAGACACAAAACTTAGACATAAATTCAGACTGCAAATGGAGGAGTTATCATTTTCCTATCACCTATTACTTAGACAAATGTGCACAGGTGTAATTTCAATAATAATAATGATAGTGAAAATAATGATAATAACAATGATAAGGGTAATGATTTAAAATAATTGCAGCTATATGTTTGCAGCATCCTGTACCTCTTTTGAATCATGTCACTATTTCCGGCTACTGAATGTTGATATGATATTTATCATGCAATAAGTTGTGATGTATAAACTAAAAACGAACGTTTTAATATTTTCTTTCTACTCTGTATGGATGTGCAACTCCGTATCAGTTTTAATTTCTTGCATGAATCTTTTTTAATAATTTTGTATGTGTGTGTGCTTGTTTGTACACACACATATATAGCGATACACATATATATGTATAGCATATACACACACACACATATATGCATATATATATACACACAGTATACTGTGTGCATTCCCAAACAAATAATTTAGCGAAAACTGAATCATAGATGATAAATAGATAAAACTTTTAACTTCATGCTACCATTAAATATTTAACTTGATGGTGGCGTTAAAAGTAAGATATATGGAGTATAAATAAGGATATTAACATAGGAAATAATTTTGAGAATTCTATTTGATATATAAATAGAATAAATACATGGTTCGTGTATAAAGTTAGTTAGGGCGGCCGTAGAGAGTGGATGGGACGACAACTTCGTCGGAATCATCACCAGCACGGGCGCGGGCGGCGTCCTCCTCGGCGGCGAAGGCGATCTGGTCGAGGACGAACTGAGGGATCGGGTGGGGGAAAGCGGGGGCCACGGGGAGGACGTCGGACTGGGGCTGGAAGCCGTTCTCGTCGGCCACGTACTTGACATGGACTTCAGTGCCGTCAGGAGCGGTGTAACTGCAATGCATTTAATATATTAAAATATATAAGGCAAAAAATCCATGAATGACTTCAAGCTTGATTTTCTATTCCTGACAGTTGGAAGTATTTCTCACGAAAAATGATTAGCATTACTCACGAGTATTCTCCAGCCTTGATCACAGCGTCGTCATCACCGTCGGGGGATCCAGCCTGGGAGAAGCTGATGCCGTTGGCAGCTTCGAAGTCAAAGTTGTAAGTTCCATCTTCCTCATGGACGCGGTCGTCCTTGAGGATTGGCACGAACTCGACCTCCTCACTAGATGCAGCACGAGGAGCGCCATATCTGGTCTGGGGAGCAGCGACTTCCTCGCTAGACTCAGCAGAAGGAACCCCATAACTGTACTGGGGAGCGGCGACGGCCACGGCAGCAACACAGGCGAGGATCAGCTGTGGTAACAACGATGGTGGTATTAATTTAGTCAGAGGCACAAGACACTAGATATATGAGAGATATTGAAGAAAGGAAAGGATGATGTCACTGATTTGTGTTTAAACAGAAAATCATCAACAACGAAAACAGCTTTCAGTTAGAAACCTATAACATAACTGAACACTCACAAATTTCATGATGATGTTTCAGTAGATACTGGTGCTAGAATGAACGCTGGCCCATCTTATATAGTAGGGACTGACCTTCCCTGCGCACAAAACTCTGGCCTTGGAAACAGGAATGAGCGTAACCTTCACCTTCACTAATTTACTAGTAGTCTTGTATCCTTTTTGCTATGCACTTCACATTTGTTTATTCCTTTACTTTTGGTCGTCTATCTGTTATATTGTTTAAAAAGTATTGAGTAATATAATTATTTCCTCATATATATACACATTGATTTTTCCTGAAGAATGATGATGTTAATAATAATAAAGATATTGAGTTGAAATGAATGATTTCACTTTCGAATCATGATACGTATGAATATACATAGACACAAGTACACTTAAAGCCCCTCTTTCACCCTTTTTCTGTATTTCTTTAAATGAAAAGTGCCCTATTACTTAAAGTGATGGAAAAAAGTGCACTTTTGGTTAGGAAAGTGTCCTTTTTACAAGTGAGTCCATGACCTTATGAAAAGTTGTCACTATATATGCATATGTATATATACGTACATACACGCACACACATGTGTGTTTATACATATACACATATGCAATATACTAATGTATATACACATATATAACGCACACACATATATATGCATAAATACTTATACACACATATGTATGTATGATTAATATTGATATAATATAATACCTCACAATCCATCTATTTATATTTCATATGTCCATCTCTCCATGTAAAACGAGTCTACAATGGAGTTAGAATCTTAGCATACTCATCATATCAGATCTGGATGATATGAGTGAACGCTAACTTCATTCAATACTATAACTTTCTAAACCGAAATTCGAATGAAAGGTTCTGTTAAACCATTCAATTTATTGCCCTCGTTTAATTTTCTTCGTTTATATGTTTTTCTTCATTGTGTTAATTTTATGTTTTTTGCTTTACAACTACTGAATTATCTTATATGGTGTTTGTTATGAAAATTTAAGTGTGTATGAAATCATTCAAATATTCTTCAACTGAAAGCAGTGATTCATTTAAAGTTCTTATTCATGTATTCCTGTGGAAGTAAAGAGCTCCAAGGGAGATACATGTACGAAAGGATACATAGATACAAATAAATGCACATTTGCACTCAGCCTCCGGGCTAGTACAGTGGTAACGTGCCGGCCTTTCATTCGAGGGGTCGGCGGTTCGCGCCCCGCCCAGGCGCGAGAAGTTGCAATTGTCGCCAGGGGGTTACTGCTGTGGCTGGGCACCACGGTGGGTAAGGACTAAGCTCATCCGAGTCAGCACCTGCTGACACTGTTAGCGAGTCGACATTAGTCGGCACAGGCCGGGCTCCCCCATAGCCCAGGCGAGGCTCAGCTTCGCATATCGGACTTACTTATTCGCACTCGCAAGCACACATACACACGCATAGAGGACTGTGGTATGGTTTTCTTGAATATCCTATCACGAAATACTGTTGCTATGAAAATATGAAATAAATTATGTGCACAGCTGAAATTCAAGTTTAATACTTGAATGTTCCACAAGTTAAAGTATGATTGAACTTCTATTTTTTTCTAACATTCTGTAACTGTTTTAAACCATAACATTGTTTCCTGCTATTCACTGTTGATATACTTTTGTTCTTTATGTTTTTAATTTCAGCAACTGCTGTTTGTTTACCAATTGGTAACTTTAATAAAGTCGGATGAAACATTTTTCCTATTTCTTCGAACGTCCATGAATGTGCAGTTCCTCAGTATCATTTTTCCTTTTTATGTGCATATTCAGTATATAGGTGTGAGTATGTGTAAAGTATACATATAAATAAACATATATACATATACATAGACTCGAAAGAGATATGTTTGTAAATTATGTATATGTATGTATATACATAAATACTTCATACATAACATGGAGTATAAATATGGTCATTAAAACTGGAAGTCGTTATAAGAATTCTATTCGACA